ATTGCTATTTGGCTGGTCTTTCCTGTTTCCCACATTGTCCGGACGTTCCATGTACCTATAAAGAGTGTTGCTCTGGTTGTTAGAAGGTGCATCGGTCTCGTGACTTCCGAAGAATTTCGGCTTTCATCATGAGACGTCATTATTCCTTCAACTCCCAGGGCAGAGTTTAAATGGTTTGGATTATTTTTTCTGGTTAGCGTTTTTTTAGCGAGTTAGCTTTTCTACGGGATGGGGTCGCTAACCCCATGCCCAACCCTCCTCCTTTACCCGGGCTTGGGACCGGCAGTAACTCTAGAAGAGCTACAGGCGGAGTTATTCTAGGTTATTGATTCACTATAATTACCACCATTGGGAAAGCTGTGATTAATTTTAAACGTTTACATTGTTTACGTATTGATATTTAGGAACGAATTCGATTCCTTTCTATTGGTTAGTCTAATAGAGTTTGAAGCCACTGAGAGAAATTTCCAATACTGACCAACAATAATATATACATCTGGAAATAACTAGAGAATCCATACCAGTTTATGATCATGCTCCGATTGTCAAAATAAAGGATAGGCAGCACATAAAATTGTGATTTATAAGTTATTTTAAACGAACGCTTGTCACAGAGTTGATTATGCTGTTAAACATAGGATACATGCAAAATCCATAATTGAAGGTTGCAGTATTCTAGAGTAAAACATTATTTTTGGAATGATTCTGCAATAGTCATCAATTTTGTAAGTATAAATTTGTCTTCAATAAATAATGTATAAAAACACAAAATATGTTAAAGTGGTATAGCCACAAAGTAACTTGAGTTTCAAAATAGTCTGTATCACATTTCTGGACCTACGTGAGTAAAACTAACAAGTCCTGAGTAAAAAAAATTCTGCATCCCATATTCTCCCACTAGACTCTATCAAAAACACAAACATCTTTTAGACGCTAGAACCATTAAAGAATCTATTCAAGCATCCCGCATATTAAAGACCGGCGGATATAAATGGTTAAGATTTATTATTGTTGGAGTCCCCTGTAGATTATCGATCATTACTAAATCTATCTAACCTGGTGTAAAAGCTCATGTTAATCTTCGAATTAGGATTTGCTTAGTCATAAATAAAATGTTTCGCAAAATGACATTTATCAAACATTACTACTCATTAGTAGTTAAAATATTTGTATCATATCCGTGCTCGGAATGGTTGTTTTAGCACAACTGGATTATAGGTAGCAACGAATTCCACTCCTATTTGAGTCAGGGCGTAGTTGAGACCTACTTCAGATGTACGAGATACAGTTTGTATTAGTAGATGCCATAATAATAGACATAACTGTTTGTACAGTATAATGGCAAATATACATCATTGTTAATATTATATTGTAGTACTTTTTACAGATTACTTACGTCTGTTACTCCCAATGGAGCATAGGCCGCCGATTATATTGTAGTGGCTGTTACTATGTCAAGCCACGCAGGTTATTCTAGCTTCTGAACAGACAAATCTATTCATTTTTCTCAAGTCACGTTTTGACCTTGTCGCCTATTAATCCTATTTTTATTTGGGTGTATATGTGTTTATTACCTACCCTATTCATTATGTCTGTAACTTAATTTTCTCAGACTATAAATATCGAGTCACACTTGATTAAATCATGTTGGCTCACTCGCCTTCTCCGCCTGGTGTCATTTTGTTTCGCTTTCCTCACTTCGTTTCTCCTATCGTCTGTTTCAGATCAGTGAGTTTACGAAGTATACGAATTCGAAATCCACTTTCGTATTTGACTTATTTTATTCTGTTATTCTTTAACGCGAATTAAGTCTATAATAATACACGATGGTTGGCGGCATGTATATTTTGATGACAATTAGCATACGGTCTGGATGGAGTCAGATATAGGTACTACAAGAATGTGACTCCCGATATATGATAATAATCTACTTTTGCACAGACACACACTAGCTTTTCACCAGGTAAATGCCTTCGTATTTGTTCGAGGTGTTTTACACTAATGGTCAACTTGCTACGTATATATGAAATATTATCAAACACTTTAGACATTCGATTTCTCTTCAAGATCTTTTTGAAAAGACTTGTCCAGCATGGCTCATTCATCTCAGTAGCACTACCTTTCATAAAATTCTTGTGATTACAATGAAAGGAATATTAAGTGTAGTAAACAAAAGCATGTTACCTACAGCTTAATATACGTGAGGGCACTAATGACTGTTTTAAAATTAATGCGCAAAAACAATATTAGAAAGAGCCCCGTATCATCAGTTTTATTGGAAACAAATCCAAGTATATGGTATCATTCTCCTTTCTTAAAAAAAGATAATGGGCTGTATTCTGGAACATACCATAAAATGTCGAACTGCTACCTAAACACTGGATTGATTTAATACCAATTAATTGAGGAAAGGTATTAATCATGTTAGATGGATAGATATCCAAGTTCAAAATGGGTAGAATAATGTTCGAAGTTTCGAATATGAATTTCATGCGATACGTATGCTTTAATTGCCGTACATTCTTTATTAGTATTTCTTTAGAATATATTGTGTCAGGCTCAATTTTATTGCTCGTGTCAAGATGTGTGAAATGAACTGATAGGATTAAAGTGAACCGGAAATGACCCAAAAATGATATAGAATATTTGCATCGAAAACAGAACCACAAAACTCCAGTTTAATCAGCTATTACTTTAAAAGAAAACCAAATTAGATCAACAAAAGACGAAGTTCAACTACAGATAAATAAGGAACACTGTAATTGTTGTTATTACAGAGAAGACTATATCAACAGATTAGATGGAATACATTTCATTCTGTAAACTATTAAAAGCTTTAAATATCTAAAATCCCACAATGATAAAGGATCACTGACTTATAGTTCCGTGATAATAGGCCGGATCGTTTGTATGCTATACTGAAAGAGGCGAAAGTCAAAAATCCCCAAACGATGAATTAACTGAAAGATTAACTTGTTGAAAAATTTTATACATTTTCTCTTCTTTATAAATCTTAGTAAACTAAAAACAATCATAGCAGAAAAACATGAATTCAGTTATATTTCGTGGATTGTCGTCGGCTCCTTATAACTTAAAAACAATAATACCAATCATCGAAAACACGAAATGTCTTGATTGATGTTGAAGTAAACATAGATATATGAATAAAAAGCTAATAAATAAGGATTCAAAAGTCGTTCATATAGTCGTTTAACTACAAGTTGACCATGTAAATATTCCGTAATGTAAAACAGACAAAAGCATGAAGACAGGATTTTAAAACTGAAAAATATCCCAGGTCACGGAATACTTAGGACAAGAGATCGATTAGTCAAATAAAGCTAATATAAAAAGGAACTATAACTAAGGGTATGAAAAAGAGCCTTACGTACCTAACTCTTGAAATTGAGGTCACCAAAATAACGCGCGATTAACCAATATCCTTTAGGATACATAAATTTGGTTAGTTTTTTTTTATAAACAATGACTTCACTAAAGTGTAGCGAATTCCCAATCATTTGCTTGCTAACTATCTGGAAAAAAATTGAGACAACGACATCACATCCACCATCAAGTGAACGACAATAATTCCAAGTCTGAAAATATGTTCTTTTAAGTTATAACATATGTGAAGCATCCTCCGGTATGCGGACAACAACTCACATTTCTACTAACAATGATATCACTGAAATCAGTTTTGTACAGCTTAATTAAGCTTATTAGTGAAGGTTGATGAATGACCTACGAGACTTATCTGACAATCTCTGACAATACACAAACTGCCTTTTAGTTATATCCTTATTTATTATTTAACATTCCAAAGTTATTCTATTGGCTGACCGGTTAAATTCTATAAAGCATACATGAGAAAGTGCAAACCACAAATTGTTCGCATTATTTTTTTTAATATCTATGTGTCATAAACGTGATTAGTATTTTATTTACATATTTAGAGTATAACTGCTAAGTCTGAAGAGAGTTTATTGGAGAAGAAGAATACTACATACGCACACTAAACCTTAGCAATTTGGTCGCTAAAGTATAAATAAGATACCTAATTTATCGTTACTTCGATGCCATTAGAAGTGAAAATGAGTAGTCCTATTATTATTAATATTAGTAGTAGTGGTAGTATTACTATAAGCTTTATCCATTACTATAAACTTTCTTACAGCAAGAAATTCTCAACATCTGTTGTGCAATATTACAACGAACCCGTTCTTAACATACATTCAAGTTGTAATTATTTAAAAACTATATTTAGTGTTTTTCCAATAGTCACATCTGCCACTCATCTTCAATGGTAAAAGTTTACAGCTGGTTTATATTTTATTCATCTATCAGATAATAAGCGCATGAATCTCAAAACATTTTTTTCAAAACGTAAACAAGGAAGTGCAACGTCTCAGTAACAGATTTCGCGTATTTAGTATTGTTATAAATTGTAAGCCTGTCAAAATCCGCATGAGTACATACAGTTAGGACTCATTATTATTCGGTTTATTAGAATATTCGCTCGGTTAGGAAATAGGGGGCTTAAAACGTCTGAACAAGCCACCGTAAGCATGAAACTTGAGACTGAAATTTGAGAATACATATGACTCTAAAGGAATTTAGTTTTTGCATTTATGCGCAAAATTACTCTAAAACTATGACATTTCGGATATTATATCACCGAATTAGTTAAAAAGTATCATACGGATCAAAACAGCAAGACTATAAGTGTACTGTATAAAGCATACGTCGATTTCAACCACACAGTAAAACAATTACCACGAATTGATGGATACGTAAAACATTTCGTAGCATGTTCCAACCTATTGATAAAGAATAATCTGTTCTGTTCTAAATTAGCGCAACTAATTGATACATATCTTGTAAGGTAAGACAACATCATATACATATAATATACACGCCTATTTGAACCTATGAACAGACCATGAACTCTAACGAATTACAAGCGCTATTACAAAATCCATTCGTGTAAGAAGCAAACTGGTAAGGAGATAATTACGACTAATTTTTTTTCTCTTATGTACATTTCACAAAAAAGTGTAAAACATAAAGGAAGGGCTTACAGGCGTCTATATACAACACATACATACACATGCATATACCAAGTTAAACAACCAGTGTGATAATACTAATCATACACACAGAAAAAAATAGTAATAAATGATAGATTGTTTGGATAAAGAAAATACCAATATTTTCATATTAATTAAGAATTAAATTAATCCATGACGCTTCTTGTACTCTTGTAAATTTAACAACCGACGATTTGGTTTTCCAAATGGACCGTTCATTGGTGTTTGGGGACTGCCATTGATAAAATCATGAGTAGAATTCGCAGTACCACGTGGTCTAGGACTAGTTGAATGCCGTAAGTCAGCATTAGTTGATCCTGTTCGTCCGTTGGAATTCGCTTGATCATTATTCCCATCCAAATCTAAATCAATATTTATTTCAAAATTATGAATTGCATGAAGAGAATCATGCGGTGTGGACAAATTGCTATTATCATCTCCCAATGACCAACATACTGAGTCAGGTGCTTCAGTTAGTATACTATTACTTCCCATTGGTGTATTCAACAGTGAATTTTTAGATGACATGCTTAGCTCTGAATCAGGAGTTGGTGGTGGAGGCAAACTTTGATTTAAATCACAGGTAGAAGTATTTGATTGAGCTACTACTCCAAGCTGTAATGAAATTAACCAAACAGTAGTCATTAGACAACTTTTACTAGAATAAATTCATTATTAGTAATTCTTAAATTGATATTTAAAATATGTATTAAATACAAAGAAAAAGTGTACTAATAGTTAAAATACAGGTGATTTGACTGAAATTTTGTCAATATTCATAGAAATTATCTTCCTAAACATGTACACTTGAAGCAAACATAAAATCCCAAATTTCAGTATAAATGATTATCCAAAAATAAATAGATTAAGATCAGAAGGAGTTTTGTGGAGATTTCAGTATTTTCATAGTTGAAATCATGAGTCAATTGAAGCTAGACCAACATGGAAAACCTGGATGCGCACTGCTGAGGAGTCAGTCCCACAATAAGACGAAACGGTCGTCTAGTGCTTCCAGGTTTTCCATGGTGGTCTAGTTTCAATTGACTCATGATTTCAACTATGAAAATAGATTAAGATCATTGTAAATCGATGCAACCTTATGATCATAAAAATGATCAAGTTAGCTAGATAAAAACAAATAATCATTCAGAAAAAGATATGGGATGATAATTTTTGTTTGAAAAATATATAGAAGGAAAAGTTCAAAGTAATTTGAGATATTCTAATCAGTCTGAACTCTTGATCTTTAATATCTTGTAGATAAATTTGATTCATTATTATTATACTAAAAAATGACTTTTATTCTTGTGTTAAATTTCTGAAACCATATTTGATTAATTGATATCTTTATTAAACTTCAAGATTAATCAATTTATGTTTCTATCTAATATAGCCGATCAGTGATTAAGAAGCCATTTTTTGAAACACTAAGGATCTGGATACTCTTTTAACCTTGATCACCATTCAGTGAATGTAAATCTTGATATAAATAACATGAAATGGCAAGTTGCAATTAATCTGATAGTGTTTGGCAGTTAGGCTTGTTGAGTACACTACATAATGCCGTTAAATAATTGAATAATAAAATACATTTTAGCTTCCTTAAAGCTACTTCCATAATTTAATCCACATAGATAAACCATGAATAAGGGTAACGAATTTCTTTTCACTATTTCAAAATAATCATTCCTTTAAATGTTACAGAAAAACCATAGATGTTGCTCGATTACATAACAGTTATTTAGGGATTGAACAATTAAGAGATAAAAGAATGTAATTGTTAGATAAATAACATACTAAATCAAAGACAATGTTAAATGAAATGCACTTTACTCACAGATATTAAACACAAAATACATATGAACAGATCTAGGATAGCTTAGATATTAGAATATTAGCACCCAAAAAACTTAATTCATACAATTCTTACTCTTTTATGACGTAAATTCTCCAAATATTTCTTAGTGACAATCACCGGTTGAGAATGAACACGTGTAAATGGATCTTCTTCCTTGGAGTTCAATGCTTCTTCACTTTCTTTGCGAATAGCCTCTTCAGCTTGTTGTACACTAAGTGCACGATTACGTTGATTTATAGATGTAATTGATTTAAAACCTAAAGTTCGACGTCTTTCAATTCGTTCAGCTTGAGATTCAATTTCTTCTATTTCACTATCTAAATGTTTCAATAATTCTGTATCTCCATCTGTTTCTGCTTGCTCTCGTTGTTTAATTAATTCCGCTTTGCGTAAAGCAAAATTTGTTGGAGCTTTCTGAAAACGACGTTTGGATTGTATGATCTATGAAGTAAAAAAAGATGGTAAAAAAGATATCAATGTGTCACTATAAACAAAGTGAAATGCAACACCTACTTTAAGCATACATGGTAATATATTACAGCCAATAGATTTCTCATTAATTGAATGTAAACTTTATGAATTAACATTGTTATTTATTTTATCATTGTTAGTTGTAATGGATTATAATTTCAAGAATAATCTATGATATGAGAACAATCAAAATAAACAGACGAAACGACCGTCCAGTGTTTCCAGGTTTTCCATGGTGGTCTAGCTTCAACTGACTCATGCTTTCAACTATGAAACAGAATTGTGTTTGGTAGATGAAATGGCAATGATAATGATATAACAGATTGATAGACTGATATAAAACAAAGGATCACTAGCCATAAGAATGGATTTTCCTTTTTTCTAGTACATACAATTAGGTTAGGTCAGGTCAGCTACAACGTAGGACCAGGCACATATATGCATCGGTCCAAGTTGCCATACCTCGTTAGCACAACAAGAGGAACACGGGATTCATAGTAGTTAATCTAGTGTTGGTAGTAGTATATAAATTATAGGTTGTATATAAGGATATAGTACAGGAAGGAAGAAAGTTATGAAGAAATTTTAGTCTCAAGGTTTAAGGGAAGATAAAGAGTGTATACACCTACGCCATTGTGACCGATTCTGAGCCATGTCACATAGAGTCTCCAACCATTGGTTACGATAGTCACGCGGACCCCAACCAGGTAGTCTGCATCTGCCAACATGGCTCAGGCTAGAAGTTAGTGACTTCAAACACTGATGCCATGTTTTGGTTTGGCCGCCCCTAACTCTCTTCCAACCGTCCCCAATACTAGTCATCATAGCGCGTCGTGGTAATCGGTGTTCAGGCATACGTAACACATGGCCCAACCATCTCAGTCGATGAAGATTCATCACCTCATCAACTGATTTATCATCGTTCCCTAATACCCTGGGTCTAACCTCACTATTACTTACCCGGTTATCCCAGCAGATGCGAGCAATATTTCTAAGGCATCTGTGGTCAAATACTAGTAACCTACGAGTATATTCTACTCTTAATGGTCATGTTTCGCAGCCGTAAAGTAGGACAGAGCGAACTGCTGCGCAGTATACTCGTCCCTTAATTGATAGACGGATATCTCGTCTACGCCATAGGTGACGTAAGTTGGCAAAAGCCAAACGAGCTTTTTGAATCCGTGCTGAGATTTCGTCTGACACCAACCCATTAGGGCTGATCAGACTTCCAAGATAAGTGAAGTTGTCGACGCGTTCGACTACTTCACTTCCTATCCTTAGTTCGAGTGTTGACGCAGGCCAGTCCTGGAGTAACAATTTACATTTGGATGGTAAGAAACGCATCCCAAACATCCTGGCATTATTACTGAGTTCCAACAGAAGACTCTGCATTTTGCCAGCGTCTTCACCAAACAGGACTATGTCATCTGCGTATTCTAAGTCGCTTAGTGGTCCCCCTGGTAGGAGATCAATTCCTGAAAATTCAGTCGATGAGAGTGTTATTTCCAGCAACAGGTCTATAATGAAGTTAAACAAAAATGGGGATAGTGGACAGCCTTGACGGACACCACTTGAGGTTGTAAAATCATATGACAGTTCGCCATAAGCTCTCACACGACTAATAGTGTTCGAGTAAAGAGCCTTCAAAAGGTTTATGTACTTCTCAGGTACACCTTTCAATGACAGGCACTGCCACAGAACCTCTCGGTCTACAGAGTCAAATGCTGCTTTCAAGTCAAGAAAAACTATCATTGTTGGACGCCGATAAGCGTGTCTGTGCTCTAAAACTTGACGAATGGTGAATATGTGGTCGATACAGCCACGACCCGGTCTGAAGCCAGCCTGATTTTCTCGTGTTTGCAGTTCACGAGTCTTAGTTAGGCGCCCGATAATTATTGAGGCTAGTATTTTAGATGCTATGTTGGTCAGACTAATCCCTCTATGGTTATCGCAGGATGATTTTGACCCCTTTTTATATATTGGGACAATCGGTGATTGTGATCAGTCGGATGGGATTACATCCGTCTCCCAGATTTTAGCCAGAATATTAGTCAACCTAATCGCTAAAATTGGACCACCATATTTAAAAACCTCTGGAACCAATCCATCAGGACCAGCTGCTCTTCCCCGTTTCAGATTACCTATAGCCTTTTGAACTTCAAGTAGGGTCGGGGGGCCTACTTCAATGTTCCATTCAGGTTTTCTGGGAATAGTGGGTAGTTGTGCAGTAGCTGAAGGCCAGCTAAACTGCTCCTTAAAGTGTTCCGCCCATCGTTCTAAACGTTTAGGTTGAGAGCAGATAAGGGTTCCGTCTTTTTCCGAGATTGTCTCACTTACACTTGACTTCTTAATTCCGGTTTCTTTTATTAGTCTGAATAGTTGCCTGGTGTTGCCTACAGCCGCTGCCTTTTCCATCTCTTTTGCTTTCGTTGCCCACCACTGCTCACGATCGTTCCTTAGGCTTTTAGTTAACCTAGATCTAATTTGTTTACGCTCTTCGTCATGTTCAGAGCCTGATGGGATGAGTTTACGCGAATCCATCAGTGAAATAGACTTAGAGGAAATCCACTGGTTTTTTGGAGCCCTATGGTTTAAATGACTAATAGATGTTACTGCCGTTTCCACAGCTGTTCGTGTGTCTTTCCAAGCAGCATCTGGGTCAGTCTCGTTTACAGAACTGCCTAGATGTGAACTCAGTTGTTTCTGGAATTCGCATTTGGCTTTCTCGTCCTCCAGTTCAATCCTAATGGGTCTTCTTAGTGTACTTTTCCTGCGTCCATTGAGGCGCAGACAAATGCGTGCTCGTATTAAAGCGTGATCAGAGTCTAAACAAGTATTCCAATACGAGCGACAATCTTCTATTGAGCCTCTCCAACGATGACAATATGGTCTATTTGAGTCCATCGTTGGTTTGGTGCAGGTGGTCGCCATGTTAGACGATGTCTCTCCTTATGTTTAAAATTAGTGCTTGCTAAAAATAAACGATTGTCTGAGCGTAGTTGCAACAGACGATCACCATTATCGGTTCGTTGAGCCGGAATACTAAAACACCCACCTAAATGTCTTTCTGTTTGATTTAAGCTGCCTACCTGGGCATTAAAGTCACCCGCTACGACTACTATGTCTGAGCGCTTAGCTTTCTGAAGAACCTCAGAGAGTTTTCTGTAAAAGTCATCTTTTACTTCATCATGGCTGCAGTCAGTGGGAGCGTAGGCAGAAACGACGAAAAGGCAACGACGTGTGTCCCTATCCTTCCGAGTTCTTATGGAGCCATTTAGCCGGACAGCACACAGGCGACTGTTAACGGGGATCCATTCTAGTAGTGCCTGTTCTGCCCTTGTACTTAGTGCTATGCCTACACCTGCAAGTCCGCGAGAACTAGCCAACGGGTCGCCAGATACACGGAGGGTGTATTTCGTCGGCTGTCCATTTTGGCGAGGTGAGGTCAAGTGAATGACCACACTGGGATCCTGTATGCGTGTTTCGGAGACACAGCATACATCAATGGTACGAGATTCTAGGGTTTTAGCTAAGGAGGCCTGTTGACCGATTTGGCATAGGGTACGTACGTTGAAGGCTCCAATGTGTAGTTTGGAGCGAGGTTTAAGTAGACCTGGGACAGCGTTTCGCGCACTAGAATCGTTGGCCATGGTGACACTTGAGGAGGAAACCGAGAGAGGAAGTTTAGTGTTGAAAGTCAAGGTAGAGGGAATAGTAGGAATTGAAGAAGAAGATTGATTATGAATACAGTGGTCTTGAGTGCTGTTAGAGGTATGAGGGCAGTTATCACTTCCCGGTTGCCCACACAGTGGAAGGATTCTTCTAGAGGTACCTGAAAAGGAAATTGGGTTAGGAGTGGTCTTAATGACCTGAGAGCGTGACCGCAGTGCCCAAGGGACAACTGCTTGAGGTCGGTCACACACGACCTTTTTGTGGGTAGTTTTTGTGTTAGCTCCGTTCTTCAAAAAAAAACCTTACCGCCGGAGACGGAAATCCGTGGGATAAGGCGAGGTGTGCATTTTTAGGGCCGACCTTTTCTAACCCCACCCCTCCTTGTGGGAAGGCAGCATCGCTGTCATGCTGGTTGTCTGAAGGAAACACCTTACTGCTTTCACACCTCTGTACAGTCAGCAGTACGACTTCGCCTTCGGACCTTGGGTTTGCTGCTTTTAGTCTCACCGCTCTTCAACCGACCTGTCTGGCATGGTAGGACCTCGAGGAACGACTGTTCCAGCCAGCATAGCTCGATTGCTTCATCACGATAGGCAAGCCCGACCACCACGTCAAGGTAGCAGCAACGATCGGGAGTACATACAATTAGCGAGAAAATAAAGATGATTGGGATTCACGGGTGATTAGGAGATTAATAGTAGCGTTAATCATTAACTAGCCGATAATTTAGGATCTCACACACTGTCAAGTTTAATTCTTGACCAGCATAAGTAATTTTGCACATAGAAGTTTTCTACCTGCTCTTTGTTCAACTATTATTGATCAGCTTGCAAATATTTTAATGGTTATTATTTAGACTTTATTGCTATTTACCTTGTTAACCTCTTCTCATCATCTCACCGGTAAACGAAGACATTGACAACAGGATTGAGTAACGTTAATAGGTGTAGACTATCTGGTTGAGGTCCACATGATTATCATAACCAATGGTCAGAGACTCTAAAGAACATGTCTCAAAATCGTCTACAATGACACAGGTGCATCCATCCTTTGTCTTCAACCAAACTCTGAGCTTCTGAATTCCTCATAACATTTTTCTGTTTTTACTTCATTGATTTATTTGCTCTCAAATCATATTTTCGATGCCTAATCTTTCCAAACATCATTCATACTGTTAATGCCTCTACTATTCTGGGATTCTGTCTGACGATATCATCTGTGTGCTAATGGGGTATGGCAACTTGAAACGATGTACACAAGAACCAGATTCTACGTGGTAACTGACTGACTAGTCGACCATGTTAACGTGGTATGAGGACTTGGGCTAATGCATATTCTTATTAGGTTATAAGTTAATTGTGACTGATTAAAATTAAACAGTTTGCAGCTACTATGTAAATTAAATAACTTTATATCCAAATGTAAAGTTTGATAAGGATCTAGTAGAAATAAAAGTATCTCCACACTTCGAGATCATAACTTTTCACAAGATCAAAAACACACTTTACCGAAAAATACTAAATGATTGCTAATAAAAGATCTTGAGATATCAGACAAATAAACACAGTGATAGCTGATATTTTGTGACTAATTAGCCTCATTAAATTCTTGGATCAACAGAATTCGGCAAATACTTAATAGCAAACCACCATACAAGTCACTTTTCGGTGAACCAGAATGCCGATAGCCAGTATCAAAAGTATTCTAAAGTGAGTACACATTTACACTACTCACCACTGATATGGGACGAGATCATTATTAATAGTGGACCTAAGTGACAAGAAACAAGCGAAATAACATAACAAAAACTTTGTTGAATATCTAACACGTATATGTAGATTTCATTCAATAAAATAACTCGTTAATCATACATCATGATAAAATTAATACAGGCACATGTGAAACAAACCTGTTCAACTACGCGTTCATCTCGAATAGGACGATTTATTGCTTCAGTAATTTCAGCAGCTTTATCTCGGACAAAATTCAAAGTTGGAGGTTTCATATTCGCAAGATGTATTCGCCGCATCCAGCTGTCAAATTCATCTTGCTGAAAATCAGAGTTTGAAATGAACGCCAGACGAAATGTGCTTTGATCTTTTCCAACACGAACTACAATTCCTTTATTAGTTCTACAAAAAGCAGGATCCTTGGTGTATATATATACATAATGTAGCGATTATAGATCAAACAAAAAACATTACTCTAAATATATATATGCATATGCAGTATATTCTGTATTTTGTATTAAGTGAGAGATGTAGCTGCCGGATGTAAATATGTGTATTTGATAACATGTATCTTCGAAGAAAAACAACTGACTCATTCATAAGGAACTTCAGTGTGAGACATACTAAATGTGAGGACTAATAATACTGCGATATATGCTATGTTGACAGACATAGTATGTAACACTAACCACAAGTGCAATATCTGGTAGCAGAAGATTGAGAGGATCGAATTGAAGAGAACAATAATGTAAACAAAGAGTAATTTTAATAACAACAGAATCCAAAAAATCACAAAGCACGTAAAAGACAACTGAAGGAAGATGTGCAAATAATGTATTTCATGTACAGTTTTCATATTTTACGAAGGAACTCCGTAATTTTGCATTAAACAATAAATCAGTCTTCCCCCTCCTGAGTTCTTCGTTCACCCGGTTTCTCAAACCGAAGTACACGATTACCGACTTTTTACTAGATCTTGAATGCAGTATAGTTCTTTCACTTTCGACAGTTTCTTTTTATTTCTATATATATATATATATATATATATATTGTAACCCTAGATTTAACTCCAATTAGATTGTATGATGATCGTCATCGAAATATACATGTCGGCTATCCTCGTATATTTCATCGAATTAAATCGCGTTAGTGAATAACGGAGTTAAATAAGCCAAATACGAGAATGGATTTCGAATACATATATTATGTACACTCACTGATCTGGACAGAAAATGAGAGGGATGAAGCGAATAGAGAGTGAAGAGAAACGACACGTAGTGGAAAGTCGTATGACCCAACTCCCTTTAACCTACCGTTAATCAATATTTATAGCCAAATAAAAATAGGTTGCAGACATATGGTGAATAGGATAAGAAGTGTGCACACATACGCTCCCCAAATGCCATGTTACGGCCGAGAGTGGGGAGAGTACGCTCTCCCTCTCGAAATGATCTCACATGACCACGCGAATATATAGCCTCCGCCAGGGAAGTCCTACTCACTGCCTTCTCGTGGAGGGGGTGTTGTTTACGAAATTGAGAGGACGAAAAGCGAATATCCGGCGCTTTAACCGGTTTGGTGGACACGGAAAGTTCACTTAGGGGAGTTGGAAAACCCTGATTCCAAACCAATGGTGCACATGGGCTCCAGTATCCTGAAGGAACAAATGGCGTATGAACCAATCGTTGGTCACCGGCTACCATAGGACTGCATCTCCTCAAGATGCTCCACTGCATTGTGGATCAGACCTTCAGGTCAAAGGCTTGGGGTGTGGCCCCCTAAGAAAACCACCTGCTTCAGTTTGGGCACGTACGCAGTATCACAGCCCTCACACAAATCAAATGAGATTTGTGAGGCACATATGTACCTGATGCTTCCTTGTACCAATATTTATGTGTTTAAATAAATAACAGTCAGGGTTGATAAGTGAATAATTAACAAGGTCAAACCGTGACTCAAGAAGAATGATATATATATATATATATATATATATATATATAAGCAGAAAACAGTTGGAAATTTATGTACCGAGTATCACCAAGATCGTATATTTTAGGAGTTTCCACGACATCCACAATTTCAGCACAACGATAAATCGGCACACCTTGATGTAATCCTATGTTAATACGCACAAAACATCCTTTTATCAAGTCCTGTTGAAAAAAATAAAAAAATATGTAGTAGTCATTTACAGCCACATGCATGGAGATTAATTCTAGCAAAGCTTACAAATTATGACCAACCAAATAAATATATATATTATAAATGCTACAAACTCTAACCTAATTATAATTCACTTAAACACATTATTAAATATACAGTCGACAGATGGCAGTTAAAACTGAATGGACTTCACTGATTGTTAGCAGGAGTGATACCACCTTTTTATTGACTAGTAGATGAACAAATCGAAAGCACACACCAGTCAAGCGGTCGCAGGTGGACCCTAACACCAGGTCCTACACCGAATCATACGATTGGCTGTTTCTTAGCCAATCAGCGTTAGCAGGTACTAGGAGAAGACCTTTGTATCTTTTCGCGTGAAAATTATCAATATATTAACGTTTTTCTTATAGTAATTCCTATTTCTATTTACCCCCTGTTTATTTGGAATATATTTACGTTCCTGTTCGACCGCGTTCTGATCTAGGGACTTGTCGAGTCAAGTAGTGTCCAAGAATATTAACCAATAGTAGTAGCTGGGTCGTAATAAGAGAGTTCATAACACTGATCGAAGAAAACAGTATGATGGGTAGGCTGTCTATAAAAAAGACACTAAAAATATTAGTTGGTTAGTTTCACACAACCCACTAAACTCATAGTAACGTAATAATAATGGCGTCAATCTAAAAAGTACACAAACCATACTTAAAATATTTTGTCTCAGGTCAGCTACAACGTAGGACCAGGCACATATATGCATCGGTCCAAGTTGCCATATTTTGTCTTCTACATATTCACAAGATTTAAAGGTTATTAACAATAGACTGCACAAAAGATGAAAATTTTCACTCTTTAAAGTTTGTTTGGCTAATAGTCTTTACTTTAAAATTATTTTAAGATAAATGTAGTATGTCATGCCTTGAATCTAATGATACCCATAATAAAGTCAGTAACATCTTACCATACGTGATAATACATGTAGGATGTGGAGAAACTCACATCGAAAAACGGCATGTGAACCCACTTTTCCATTTTAAACCGTGACAACCGAATACGAGATAGATGTTCAACAGAAGAGACTAATTCCTCTTCAGGTGAACGACTTCTGCCTCGAGCGTCATCTTCACTTGAAGAACCAGATCGCTGTGAACCCGACAAACTTGAAAAACTAAAAAAGTGAAGACATAGTTTTAGAGTACCACTAAAACAATTTTTAAAAAAATAGGCATACCTTAACGATTAGAAAACTCTGAATAAAATATCACTTTGACTCAGTTGATTGAAATTAACAATGTTCCAGAACCTACTGAATGGTGAGTACATGGTTTATACATCCACATCCAGGTCTGAAACCGGCCTAGTTTTCTCGGATTCGCCCTTCATAAGTTATAGTTAGACGTCGAAATATTATTGAGACTAATATTTTAGACACTATATTAATTATACTGGTTCCTCTGTGATTGTCACAAGAGGAGTTATATCCGTTCTTATAAACCGGGAAAATCAATGATTAGGTCTAGTCACATGGGATTACGTCCACTTTAGCTAAGATTTCAATTATTCACCTTCATGGTTGACTAACTTTTTCTCTAGTCGTTCCTGAAATATATCCTTAATTTTTTGTCATTAAGTTAAACTCTAAGGGATTTTCGACACCCAGTAAGATACAGACAAATACGTGCTCAAACTGTAACATGGTCTGAGTCTAAACATGTGCTTTAAGATGAGCGACAGCCTTTTACCGAGTCTCGGTTTGGTTCAGTCTACTTATTTAAGCATTAAAATCACCCCCCAATAATACAACATTAGAGTGTAGCTTTTTGGCGGTTGGATGGATTTGTATAAAATGCATCTTCAACTTCATCCGAGCAGTAATCAGTGTGAGCATAGGCAGATACAATGAAGAGGCAACGGGACGTGTCGCTATTTTTTCGAGTTCTAACCGTATCATTTAGTCAAACAGCGCACAAGCGGGTGTCAATTGGAACCCAGTCTAACAGAACTTGGCCTGTTTTTGAACTTGATGTTATAACTACACCAGAGAGACTACGGAAAGCAGTAATAGGGTCTACAGTTTCACTAAGGCTAAATCGTGCTGGTTCCTTATATTTACAAGATGAGGCAAATGAATGACTGTACGTGAACCCAGTACGAGCGCTTCAGAAACACGGTATACATTGATGGCACGAGATTCTAAAATCTTGGTTTCAGAAGCCTCTTGTCCTATCCGAAACAAGGTTCAAACACTAAAAGCTCCAACATGTAGTTTGGGGAGTGGTTTCAGGAGACCGGTAATAACATTTCGTGAACTAAAATTATTAGCATTGGTAGCGTATGGTGATAAAGATATACAAAAAGAATCAGTCGTATGGATCGAGGAATTATTTAGAGGTGAGTGTCAGTCAGTCAGTCAGCTACAACGTAGGACCAGGCACATATATGCATCGGTCCAAGTTGCCATACCTCGTTAGCACAACAAGATGAACACCGGATTCATAGTAGTTAATTTAGTGTTGGTAGTAGTAGTAGTGACGGATTTGAAAGTCAACAACACGATTTCGGGTGTCGATAGAGGTATGAGGGCGGTTGTCACTTCACAGTCGCCCACACCATGGAAGGATGCTTCCTCTTCAGGGACCTGAAAAAGCTGAATTAGTGATGGTTTTTGCGACCTGAGAGAAGGTTCCAATTAGCGTGAAACTTGAGCCCAGAGTTTCCGACAGAGTATCTCAAACCACCCGACATTTTAACTATAATTTTCACTTTTACATCATCCTTGTCAAGTGGGCAACTGTCTTTTACCTATTTCGTCTAAGATTGTCGTTTATCAACTTCCTGTTCATCACTTCCTGTTCAACACATGAAATTGCCTGAATACTATTGTGTAGTCCTTCCACCTTTTAACAGACTTTATCAAAGAAATCGCTATAAAGATTCTCTTCGTTGAAATATCTTCAGTCTGAGGAAAACTAAACAGCAAAAGACTCTAACAAATTAAAAACTCCCAAGAAAACAAGCTTCGGCTTACATCAGATTCATGGATTCGAAGTTCCATCCCACTCACTTTAACCAGGATGTGCCATGAATCAATGCAATACAGATCCCTGAACAAGGCTATAATGTGAGTACTGCTTAAATGTAAATGGTGTGGAAATGTAAACTGCAAGTTCTTAAAAACAGTATTACTTAATTTGGCTTAAGATGTTATGTTAACTAGGTGGAGTGAGATAGAAAGAACTTAGTATAAATAATACCTAGATCATACAAAACGGAATTTAGGTTACAAATTATTTCACAACCAACCTTGGACGTCGTGCTACAGGACGAGAATCAGGTCGACTTGAATCAGAAGAGTCTGACGCTTCCGAAGAAAAGACACGATGAGACATAGACTGATGCTTCTCTTGAATTTTGACACGTGGCTTTGGACTATTATCATCACTATCAGACGAACTCCCAGAACTGTTTTGGGCGGATACATCTACTTCGTCTGATGTATGAGTTCTACGTTTTTTAGCAGCCTGTTGTTTGCGACGCTCGATGAGTTCTTGAAACTTATCCCTGTTAGCCACCTAAAACAGAATTTCCCAATGATCACTTTTATGGCAAAAAACAAAGATAATTAAGTGTAGTGATAACTAGTAACCTATCAAGACATTGTACAACAAAGCGAAATTGAGCGGTTTGAAATCAAGTTTAGCGAACAGGAAGACATACCTTCTTTTTCTCCAGAGCAATTTTACGTTGTCTAAGGCCTTTTGGTCCAAGACCACTTGAATCACTATTTTCTGCATCGTCGCTGTCTGAAAACACGTTGTGGTAAGCAGATCTTTTAGATTTGTTTGAATCCCCAGTAAGCTGCTTGGATAAAGAGGCTACTTGTTGAGCCTTTTCTCTTTCTCGTCTTTCTTTTAGCTTCTGTTTTACAGCCTTGCGGGCTCGTATGGCATCCCTTCTCTCAGCTCTCTTGAATAGTTCTTCTTCTCTTTCTTTTTCACTCATTTTCGCCAACCGACGCTTATCATCTTCCCCACCGATTAAGTTGTCATCCAGGCCATCGTCTTCGTCTTCATCGAGGTCATCACTAGATATTTCACCCTCCTCAATTCCACCTGACTTTGAATCATGTGTTGTCTCATCGCTTGGAACCGAGGTCTTCCTTTGCTTGTGACGTGATTGTAACCACTGAAAAAACATTTGGGTACACGTTAGTTTAAATGCCATAAAATTTTATGTTTCAGATTGTTCAAGTACCTACCTTCACTTCTTCATCACTGTCCGACGAGTCAGAGCCAGAAAGACGACTTTTCGCCATTCAAGAGTACTATGCAGCCACCCTGATAAGATGGGTCGCTGTAATCCAGTAAGGATAAAGTTAAAATCGGTAGATAAACGAAGACTGAAGTAAAAAATATCAATTAGCCAGCAGAACAGTAATCTGTGCTCAAAAAAAGAACATTTTGGCAGGGTGATCAGGTAAAACAAGTAAAGCGGGTATGAAAGAGTAAAATAACTAGTTGATGTGATGTATCGACAAGCTAACTACCGTAAGACAACGGGATACGCCGCACCCGTAAGATTTTAAATGGTAGTTCAAAGTTGACCTTCAAAGCCTCAGGCTTGAGTTGTTAGGATTACATGTAAATTGACTTTTCTTAGTGCTTATAGCCTGTTTTCCGGGAAGGAACTGACTTCTTCTTGAAAGTGCTTACTGTTTTGACTGATAACAATTGTTTGGGTGAGACATTCCAGTCGTTGACCACTTGATGAGAAAGAAACGGTATCACACCTTGAGTTTGTTCGATGGTGGTTTTTGAACCTTATGGCAACGGTTTCGGAGATGATTAGCTTCAGACAGAGAAAAATGATTGAATATGTTAACACTCATCAGCACTTGAGACACAGAATACCAATATGAGGTCACTTAGTGTTCTACGATAGGATAAGGGGACAGAATATAAGCGTTTGTAACGGTAAATAAATCCCCAAAATAAATAGCTGTGTAAGTCCTCCACATTGTATACTGATCACATTGGTTTTGATGGACTCACCTAGCTGAAGGCGCTCGGTCGTGCATCCGAACCAGTTCACGAGTGAAAACGCCGTGATCAATATCCCTAGTAATCGCTAACCAGATTAGATCGGTCACTTCTCGATATATTGATAACCTATCAATTATATCTTCGAACCTCCTAGCTGTGTTTCCATTGGGTGGGCACGTTTCAGCTATAGAAATTGTCACTAGTTAATGTTTCGTCAAAATCCAAATACTTGTAGCATTATCATTGGTGAGCCCAACATGATCTTGTAGCTGTAAATAATTCCCCAAAATCAATAGCTCATTAAGTGTTCGACATTGGATGCTGACTACGTTGTTTAAGTGGACTTGTTTAACTGAAGGCTTTCGGTCATGCATCCGTACCAGATCAAGTTGCAACACGGCGTGCGACACAGCTCCTACGTTACAATAGCCAGTTACGAAGTCTCTCGATATATTGGCAACGAATCAAATATATCTTTCCTGTCTCTTCTCGTCTGGCTTTTGATTTACTTTTACCGGGAACGATCGATTATAGAAGATACTACTGGTTGCTAGTTGTAAGACTAGAATATCCGTTGTATCCTCAATCTTATACACCAACTCGTAAACTGTGAATCTATTCCTTTTTGGAACTTTGTATATCGTCTCGTTACTTTGACTTTTATATATCATGATATTTCTCGTATTTCCGGATATTTTCTCCTCTTTCATTCCTGTACTTTATATTCGTCATTACAGAGCAGAATTCTAAGGTACTTAGGATCAAGACTATGACATCACGCCCATTTAAGCTAATCCCATTTTGGCCGAACAACATCGAAGCTTGGTTCTGATACGCAGAAGCTGACTTCTACGAACACGGCGTGACCGATCCAGGTGCACAATTCCTCGCAGTAGTAAAGGCATTACCAACCGAGTTCAACAGGTACGTCACACCTAGTATGTTTACTAGTGGTGTTTCGGGACCTTATGAAACTCTGAAACACTGGGATCTAACCGATAGACAAAAGTTAGATCAACTCCTTAATAACATTAATTTGCAACATGGCTCAGCAACGGACATGTTGTTACGAACGAGAGAAGTAATTGGCCAAAGAACTTTCGACGATGGCCTGTTTAGACAAATTTTCTTGTCTAAACTTCCTCTACAGGTGCAGGCAGTGCCTTTCTCCCTTCAAAGTAACACTGCAGATAAGCTGGTTGCATCTGTCGGCCGTATTCCAGGGATCAGCAAAACTTCTAACACCGAGGGTTTTTCAGTCCATGAAAAGCTTCGAACGACACAAAACAACGTTAAGGAACTCTATCATACTCTGACACGTTGCCTTCGTGTTCGTCATGACCGTAAACGGTCGCAAACACCCCGAAGGGGCTCTTCACGCAAACGATCTGTCTCTATATCGTGAGCGACAAACAACCCTACTGGTGTTGATATACTAAACGGTACGGAAAATCTTCTAGGAATTGCAGAAAACTCTGCAATTTTCCGAGCTCCGAACTGACCGACAGGCAGAACGGGAAAAGTCCCACCCAGCACTCATTAATGGCAACCGTAACCGTAGAACATCGCCGTCTGTCACACATCGCTGGTGTGATGACGACAGTTTGCCACCTCGTGGGCGCAGTTGTTGTTCTTCCAGTGAATTCCAGCGTTTAACTACACAGTCCGGTTTTAAACTTACAGTCGGCAAACGGAAAACAGACCGCCACATACGGTAGGAGAAATGTGTAACTTAACGTGGGTTTACACAAACCTATACACTGTATCTCCGTTGTTTCCACGCCGATCATTGGTATAGACCTGCTACAACATCACAATTTACTCATCGACAATCGCAAACAGAAGTTAGTAGACAGAAACACTAACTTATCTGCTTGTGTAACTTCTTTATCCGGTTGCAGACTGTAGCTCTAAATAATTCCCCAAAACCAATAGCTCATTAAGTGTTCGACATTGGATGCTAACCACATTGTTTTAAGTGGACTTGCTTAACTGAAGGCGTTCGGTCATGCATCCATACCAGATCACGTTACGACCCAGCGTGCGACACAGCTCCTACGTTCACTAGCCAGATTAGAGTAAACGCTTCGCGATATATTGATAACGTATCAAATATATCTTTCTGATCTCTTCGCATCTGACTTCTGATTTTAACTGACTGGGGAACGCTTTGAATATAGAAGGTGTTACTGGTTGCTAGTTGCCAAACTAGAATACCGGTCGTATCTTCAGTGGTGAGACAGACGTGATCTGGTACACCACGCGCATAAACTGTGAGTCTGTTCCTTTTTGAAACTTTATTATTCATTGTTTTTCTTTATTTGATTTTTATATCTTGTGTATACCTTTTTTTCTCAAATTTTTCCGGGTATATTTTAATTATATATTTTTCGTCCTAATAATACTATGACGGAACAGACACCTAAGGTATTTAAGTTAAAAACTATTACCCCACTTCTGATTAAGTTAACGCCTTTTTGGCCTGACAATATCGAATACTGGTTCTGCTACGCAGAAGCTGACTTTTGCGGGCACGGAATCATGGATTCACGCACGCGATTCCTCGCGGTCGTTAAGGCGTTACCGAACGAATTTAGCAGGTGAGTAACATCTAGTATGTTTACTAGTGATGTACGGGAACCTTACGAAACACTCAAACGGTCGATTTTAAAACGCGGAGATCTAACTGATCGACAACGGTTAGACCAACTGCTTAACAATATCGACCTGCAATATGGTTCTGCGACAGATATATTGCTCAGGATGAGAGGAGTGATAGGTCAAAGAACCTTCGATGAAGGCCTATTCAAACAACGTTTATTATCCAAACTCCCAAAACAGGTGCAGGCAGTTCTCGTCTCGTTCCAAAACAACGCCGTAGACGAACTAACTGCATCTGCTGATGGAATTTTAGAAATTACCAAATCTACTAGCGCCGAAGTTTTTTCAATCAAAGAAAAACCTCAAACGACCAAGAATGATAATAATGAATTATGTCCTCCACTAACACGATATCTGCGATTTCGTGTTGATCGCAGTTGATCAAGAACCACGTGAAGAAGCGTTTCACCTAAGAGATCTTTCTCTCGTGGTATCACAACCAGTATGGCAAATCTTTTAGAAATTGCAGGTAGCCCTGCAATTACCCGAACTCTAAGGCGACTGACACAAATAAAAACTCGGGAAACTTCCAAGCCGGCACGCGTTAACGGCAACTGTAGCCGGCGAACTTAGCCGTCTGTTATACGTCACAAGTGTGAGTACCAAAGTCCGCCACCCCGTCGACACCGGTGCATAAGTTAGCGTTCTTCCAGCAAATTCCAACGACAGACTTCGCGAGTCTGTTTTAAGTTTACAGGCGGCAAACGGAAAGCCCATTGCTACGTATGGTAAAAGGTACGTTTACCTTAACGCGGGTTTACGCAAACACATATACTGGATTTTTGATGTTGCAGATGTCTCTGTGCCAATCATTAGTATAGACTTGCTACAATACCACAACCTACTCATCGACACACGCTCACGAAGGTTAATAGACGGAAATACTAAGTTATCCGTTTGCGTAACTCCTCTTTCTGGTTGCAGATTATCCGCAGTCACAATTAAGCACGCCATAGACCCCTTATATCAATCATTACTCGATAAATCCGGGATATATCAACCACAACCGAAATTGCCTTGTGTAACCGGCAATGTTACACATCACATCTCGACTACAGGACCACCTGTATTCTCAGAAGCACGCCGACTGGCTCCCGAAAAGCTCAGGTTAGCTAAAAACGAACTCGATCACATGATAGACTTAGGGATAATTCGACCATCAAATAGCTCTTGGTCATCTCCTTTGCACATGGTCCCTAAAAAGGACAGCAATGATTGGCGGCCAACTGGTGATTATCGGCGTCTGAATGCTAAAACAATTCCCGATCGTTACTAGGAATTTATTAGGAGTTTTCTCGAGACGGTCGCTAGACGCGGAGTCAAGATACAGCACGTTCGGTAGGGAACTCCTAGCTATGTATTGTGCTGCAAGGCATTTCCAACATTCCATCGAAGGAAGAGAATTCACACATTTTACCGATCACAAACCTCTTACTTTCTCTTTAAGTTCATCTTCGGACAAGTACTCACCCCGCCCTTAATCGATCTACATACATAATGGATGACAGTGTAAGCAAAGACTGAATAGTTATCTGGACACAATTCTTCATCCCGTTTCTTCACATTTTACCCCAATTCAAACTGCGGACTATTTACTAATATCTTTCATTCCGACCACTGCTTACCTAATTCAAAATTTTCGAATTCTGTTGCCAAACGATGAAGACAATATTCCGGAAACCTACCGTTAGCATAAAATGAAAAGTTTCCGTAACTTTAAGCTCGTTTCGGATTGCTCATACGGTGAGAATTACGAACTTATTGCACGTCATGGTCTGGCCTATGTGGTGGTGACCGCACTGCTTTCCTTGTACTTAAGCTTGCTAATATGCTTCTGTAATAATATCGTTTATGTTGTACGGTCATCTAAGTAGACATATAATCTGGATATGACGAGAGAGTAGCCCATGTTGAGTACTTATCATGCGATGTGATTTTGACGTTAGCCGGTCGGTAACATCATTCTCGTCTAACCCGAGTAAGTTCCTGATCATGCGACAGATAACCCACCTTCGTAATGTACAATCCGCTAGAACTGGACTTTGAAGCATACGTTCACTGATAAAACGTTCGGAACAACACATGTAAGCGAACAATTGTTTTCAATTAGATTGTAGCTGTAAATAATTCCCCAAAA